GTTCATTTACTTCCAAAGGAAACCCCTGGGGAGTATCAAGGAGTTTGGGTCTGATTCACATTCTGCAGGACACAAACAAAAGGACGTTTCACCTTCAAAGAAAGTCATAAATACACATTATTACGTCATTAAATCACCGGTTTAATGTTCGGATTGGAAGGCCAGCAGCTCAAGACACAGACGGTTTCCAGGATCCTACCGCTGCCCCAACACTGCTTCCTGATCTCCAAGGTCTTGGCCGCGACTTTCTTAGGGAGAAGAAAATCTGCCAAAGAAGAGGACACTGTCGGACCCGCGGTGCCTGATGAAGAACAGGAAGGGGTGATCGCAGTGGACTTGCTCACAGCCCCCGGCCGATGAGACCATGTAACCTATGCCGGTGGCCGCCGTGGCCTCCGCGCCTTCCTCGGTGATCTGCACGAAGGACCGGTGCAGGAACCTCTGCGCCTGCAGCCCTGAGCGCGCGCACATCCCCGAGAAGTCAGCGTCGCTCTCGCTGAAGGCCACGCCCAGCCCCAGGGCTGTCAGGACCGGCTCCAGCTCATAACTGCCCTCCACCTCCAGCCTGGGCAAGCGCAAGTTCACGTTCCTGACCTCCATAAGCTCCGGCCTGGTCCACTCTATCAATTGCTCAGGAGTGACTTGATCTATAATCTGTTTTGTAAGAGGGGGGAGGAAAGCAGATTGGCATGATTGTAGATAAAAATTTAAAACGGCAAGGTACTGATTTGTATCAGAAATGAATAGTTTTCATAATAAATACAAGTGAAACTTCATTTTACCCTGCTGCTGTCACTATATAGCAGGCATTTCTATTTCTCTCCTTAAATTATCTGTGTATGTGGGAAAACTCAATACCATTTATTGAATTTTTAAAGATTAAAAATAAGTCATGTCTTATTCTAGCAACTTGATACGTATTTCATTTTTTTACCAATTCCTCCAGTCTTTATATGTGCACATATATTTACACAGTTACAATCACAGTGAATGTCTACTTTATGTAATTTAAGTTTTTCACTCTATTGCATATCTCCCCTAAATACCTTCAAATTGCTAGAAAATATTCCCATCAAACTGATACATTTCATCTCTTCATTCACTTTACAAACATTAGTATGTACCAGGCATTATGAAAGATGCTGATACATACTGCAAATATTAAAAACGGTAGGTACTATGAATTTCTACCTGGGTATCCTAATGTATTCAATGCTGAAATTACTGATTTGACTCAGAAGGGCAATTTTTATCTTGTGAATTATTTCCTTAGGGAAATTCTCATACCTGACATTTTTAAATATAAGAATGAATACTCTTAAAGAACTCATACATATTGCCACTTGGCTCTCCCAAAATATTTCCATCTTATAATGGTACTAGCAAAGTTTCACCGCACAGACTAAATCTGGTATTTAACCATGCAGCAGCTACCATTTATTGAGTGCTTTCTATACCCTCCACCCATTCAAGGCTCCATCTCCCTAATCATACAACACTACATATTAAGCACCATGAAGCCTGATTTATGCCTGGGAAAACATTGAGATTCAAGAAAGGTAAGAAGGGTCAGTGGTCAGAAAGCTACTAAAGGAATAGGGATTTGAAACGAAGCCTTCCTGATGTCCAGAACTCAGGACATTAGCCACATTCACGTTTTACTGCAAAGTGGGTGAAAATTTGCTGTAAATGAGTGTATGTGATTTTTTTTCCAAGAAAAGGATCCATGTCATGGAATCTTTAGAACTCTTACTGAATCCTAAATGTTCATTTTAGCTCACCCCCAAAAAATCTGAATACTGGTTATTCCCAGTGAGCCTGATACCATTTAGTGTTCCCCTGCAGAGCTCCACTGTGGCTGCAGAGAGGGAGAAATGATCTAGTGTACACCGCCAGGCACCAGCTGCTACTCAGACACCTGCTTCCAGACTCCTGGAGCACAAGTGTTGGGAGCAAAAACTTAGGAAAGGAAAGCACAGTAGGGACCAAGGGGTTTACCTTCTCCAGACCCTCTATGTCGTTGGGTAGAAGCACAAACATGCTGAGGTCATTGTTTTTATACGGAATCCCCACGATTTTGGCCTCCAAGTCCTCCAGGAAAACGAAACTAAAAGAATGGTGCTGTTCCATCATCCACACAGACTTACTTGTATTCTGCAACAAGTTAACAGAGCACAGGATGTCAAAAGGCATTAGACAAAGGCACAGGCAACAAGCTAGCTCACTGAAGTAATCAGATAATAATGATGCTAAAGATCAGTCACAGAAGGGCATTTGCCATCAGTGTATGTTTGCTCAAATATGACTTCAGATCTTATACTCCATGTGAAAGCACATCACGTAAATAAAGAACCATACCTTATTCAGCCAAAATTCTTCTTCCTTGGTATTTTCTTTATTAAACTCCCTATCCCACCGTCCTTTAAAATAAACTGTGTTTATCAGCACCAACTTGGTAGAGCTACTAAGAGAGCCATCTGGAAACAGGTCCTTGATTTTTTCTGCAAACAGAAAAAAAAAGGAAAGATTGGTCCATCTTCCAGATCAAAGATGGTATGTGTGGCAGATAGGAAGCAGACAGCCTTGACTGATTACTGAAAATTCAGCCAGGTCAGCACCTGAAGGCCTTGCCGACAATGCGTTCGCTGCAGAATCGGTGGGGAGGTTGTCACTCTGCCCATCGCCTATTTATCCCACTGGATAAATTGAGGTTGATGGTTAAGAGTCCCGCCTCTGGGGTCAGATTGCCTCTGATGGCATCCAGTTCTGCCTCTTATCAGCTGAGGAATCCTGGGCAAGTTATTTAAGCTCTCTGTGCCTCAGTTTCCACATCTGTAAAATAGGAATAAAACCTGCCTCACAGGGTTGTTGGAAGGAGTCAGTGACTTAATATGTAGAAAGCCTCAAACACTATCTGGCACATCATAAGCACTTGGTGCGCAACTATTCTTCCCTAGTCAATATGGCTCCTACCTGAGGTTGAGAGATTGCTTATTCTATGAAAAATGGAACTGATATTTTGGGCTCTGGGTTCAGTCCATCCCACACTACATTCTGAAAACACTGTTCAGCCAATCTTTTGAAAGACCCTTATATTCTGATTATTTTAAGTTTCTTTCTTTAAATGAAGCATGAAAAAGAGGCGCATTCTGTAATAACAGCAATCTCCCTGACAAATGGAATAAAAAAATGCTAAATATCAGCTATTGTTTCCCAAAGTGAATCTCCACATTAACTTTTCTTTCCAGTATTTCTCGTGTTTTTGACCCATACTAGGGAATGAGAAGGAGATAATGGGGAGAGGAATTCATCCAATTATCTGATGTAGATGGGACTGAGCACTGTATCATCCCTGAATGATGCCCAAGTGGAGATGAGGCCCAGGTGGCCCCAGCTGTAGGTAGCAGAGACAGGTCTTGATGGAGAGCTGTGTGTTTCTCCCTTAACAAAGGGAAAGGGAACTCTCTGTGACATTTGCACTTAGGGACCCAGACACAAACAGAGATGTTCTGATATGCAGGAAAGAATATACTCAAGAGAGGCAGGAGCCCAGTTCCAGGAACCCCAATGGTACTCTAATACACAGCCGTGCGCAAAGAGTCCTCCAAGGGTCTCCTCACAGCCGCTTCCTAGGGTCCCCTCCTTGGTTCCCCTTGAGTCTCCCCATTTGCTGTGTCCATTTCACTATCTGCAGTGTCCTCCCCTTTACGCCCAGCCCTGCCTGTTCAACCCTGCAAAACCCATCTCAAGCCCCTCCCAGAGTGTCTACCTGGCTCCCATGCAGAACCAAGCCCAGGGCTTCACTCACAGAAGACAGTCAAGAAGTCTTTGTATGACCAACGACCCCCCATACTCTACCATTTGTTTGACTTTCAACCCAGGAATTAATCTTCTTTCGACTTTCATCAGCTTCATTTATAAAATCAACAGGTTCCAGAGATGCATGGTAATATTTTTCAACATAATCTAAGTATTTCTTTAGGAAAAACAGGAAAGACATAGAGAGGAGTTCAATAGTCAATTTGTCAATTACCAACAGGTCTAAATAAAAGTACCAGTTGATTAGGATGATTAAGGTTAAAAAAAAAAAAACATTGAATTCCCTGGAAAATCACTTTAAATGCCTCCACACACAATTTTATGCAGATGCAAGAGGATTAAGGCAAAAATCATGCTCAGAATGCCAGAGTTAAAAATATATGTCTGGGGCACAGACCATCAGTGATATGGGTAAAGCCAAGCAGCCAACTTAGGAGACACACCCCCAGGACCCACAGTCCTGATGGTCACTTGGCCATTCAAACTAACACTCACAGATGTGGTGGACACAGCAAAACTTACTTGAAGGAAGAGGAATGTTTTTTCTCCAAACAGCCTGTTGGCTAAGTTCAGTTCATAATCATTAGTGAGTTTGCTTATTTCAGTCAAAACCTGTTGGAATTGGTGATGGATCTCTTCTGTCTTCTCAATCTTCAAAATCAAGACAAAAACTCAATAGGTTATCTGGGCAAAGGCAAACCTAGATTCTCCTTCAAGAGGATTCAGCTACTGGGTCTTCCCCTCAGTTGGGCACCCTTGAGTGCAATCTGTGGGTTCCCTGTGGCCCCTAGATGTCAGTTAGCTTCTACATGAATCATATGATCCTGTAAGTCATGACAAGTCTCAGCTCCACAGAGAATCGTTGTCCACCAGCCCAACACCACAGGTCTTTCTTTTCTGACTCAGGTTGCATTTTTGGTCTCAAATGTAATTGTCTACTATGTTTTATACACTGTTTTTATCTGCCCAAAACACTCCAGGCACCTAAGAGAAGTAGATAATTCCCCCCAGATAATTCTTATCTACCAGAGTTTAGAAATTTCTGTTCTAGACAGACAGTGGATAAGATGGAATAAGTAGCCATTTTTCAGAACTACACATAGAACTAAAATGAGATTTATCACTGTCTCTGGGAAACAATCAGCTTTTCTGGACATTTCCTACAGGATCCATCCATTTTCTGATTGAGGGCTGAAGTGTGTTCCATGGCAGGGCCAGCTAACCCCGAACACATCTCTGGAACAAAGAGGAGAATGGTCTCATTGCCTGTTTAGTGATATCTGTCTGCTTAAAATCACAGTGGATGCAAAGAGAGGGCATTTTAGTTTTGAAGTGGATGACCTGTTTGCACCTGGGAACAGAAAGGCCAGTAGAGTCTGCAGTAGCACAGAAAGACAGCACAGGGCGCTCCAACTAAAAAAAACAACAAACCTCTTACAGATTATGTCACAAGGTTGAGAAGTCCCCTGAAAATGTTTGAGGGTCTCTAGAATCTCTAATTGAAGGAGGTACTCCATATACTAAAGCAGACCATAGGAGAGGTGGCTAATTTTTCAAATGCCAAAAACTAACAAAAGATAGCAAGGAATACAAAAAACAAGAGAGCAAAACTCAATCAATGAAACAATCTCCAAAAACTGATCTTGAAGATATAGAGATAGATGGGACTGGGGTTGTGGCTCAGGGGTAGAACACTTGCCTCGCCCGCATGAGTCCCTGGGTTCAATCCTCAGCACCACATATGAATAAACAAATAAAATAAAGGGATTATGTTCATCTACAACTGAAAAAAAAAAAGTTGTTTTTTTTTTTAAGAAAAAGTTAGATGAATTACCTGACAGAATTTTCAAAATAACCAGCAGGAGGACACTCAATAAATTAGAACAGAGCACAGAGAGGCCACTAAACACAGTCAGGAAAACAGTGCATGGACCAAATGATAATATTGACAAAAAGATGGAAATGATGAAGAAAAACCAAACAAATGCTGGAACTGAAGAATACCAAAGCTGAATTGAAGAAAATCACTAGGGAAACTCAACAGCAGCCTTGACCAGGCAGAATAAAGAGCCTGTGAGCTGAAAGTCAGGTCATTCAAAATCACCAGTACAGAGGAGAGGTAGGGAAAATGAAGAAAAGTGAAGAGAGCCTAAGGCATTTATGGAACTTTATTAAGTGGAACAACACACACATCATGGGAGCCAAAGAAGGAAAAAAAAGAGAAAATTCCATCAGTCTGTTGGTAGAAATAATGGCTACAAATCTAAAGAAACAAATGGATATATGAGTATGAAACTCAAAAAATTCCCACTATGGGCTGGGGTTGTGGCTCAGTGGTGGAGTGCTTGTCTTGCATGTTTGAGGCGCTGGGTTCGATTCTCAGCACTGCATATACTTAAATGAATAAAATAAAGGTCCATCAACAACTAAAAGAAAAATTAAAAAGAAAAAATAACTAAAAACTCCAACTAGGATGAAGCTTAAGAGATCTCTACTGCAGCACAACATGACCAAACTGTCAAAAGTCACAAAGGGAGAATCTTGAAGGCAGCAAAAGAAAAGCAACTTGCAACATATAGGGAAGCTTTGATTCAATTACGAGAGGATTTTTCAGCAAAACCTTCAAGACTATAAAGAAGTGAGATAATATATTTGATATTAAAAGAAATCAACCATAGTATCTCCAGCAAAACTATCCTTCAAAAACCAATGAGAAATTAAGACATTCCCAGATAAACAAAATCTGGGGGACTTTATCACCACCAGACTTGGCCTACAAGAAATGCAGAATGGAGTCTTTCAAGTTTAAGCAAAAGGATGATAAAGAGCAACAAACCCTATGAAAACATAAAGTTTCCTGGTAAAAGTATATATATAAATGTAAGATCCTATAGCATCAAAATATATCTGCACAAACCACTTTTAAATGTGATGTGGAATTTTTTAAGCATAAAATTAATCATAAATCTGTTGATAAATATACAATATAAAAAGAGGTAAATTGTGTCATTGATACACTAAAGGAGAAAGAGACAGAGATGTAAAGTAACAGTTTTACATGTGATTGAAGTTAAGTGGTTATCAGCTTAAAATAATAGATTGTTGTATTATGTAATTGCAATGAGAACCATAAAGAAAATATAACCAATGTGATCCAGAATCTGTACACATGGAAAAATTAAGAATTCATACCCCATTTGAATCAAATGTATGATATATGATATGTCAAGATCATTGTAATGTTTTGAGCAACTAATAAAAAAAGAAACAATGCAAATATACATTAACGAATGAATGAATAAAGAAATGTGGTGTATCCATACAATAAAATATTACCCTTTAAAAAAAAGAAAATATCTATAAAATGCACAAAAAGAAAAATGAGAAGGGAATCAAAATATGTCTGATTAAAGAAATTCTCTAATTAAAAAAAAAACTAGGCCAAAGAGTTTTAATTCAAATTCTACCCAAGAAATTAGATGAATTTCTGAATTATATAATTTTTTTCAGAGAACAGAAAAAGAGGAAATAATCCACATTTTAAGAATCTAGTGTTACTTTGATACCAAAACTGAACAAGAACAATACAATAAAAATGTTGCCAAATGATGTCATTTATAAACTCCTAACAAAATGTTAGCAAGTTCAATCCAACAATGTATAATTTTTAAAATACCATGACCAAGTTGGTTATTTCACAACTGAACAAATGTCTTACCATTAGAAATTCTATTGATATAATTCACTTAATTAACAAGGCAAACGTCATATGAACACCAGTAGAGACAGATAATATAGATATATGTTACAGATGACTGGGAATTGTAAAGTCAGGAGGATTTTAAGTCACAATCGTATGAAATGAACTTGTATACCCTGCTGAGGAGTATAAGTATGGTACAATCCCCTTGGCAAACAATTTAGTAATATTTAATAAAACTAAACACTGTGCTGCTCAGGTTCACATTATATTCAATAGAAATATAGGGTAAGCCACAAAAGTGAGACACATATATGATCTTAAATTCTCTAGTAACCATGTTTTTGAAAGTAAGAAGAAACAGATGAATGGATAAATAATAGACGGTATATATACACAGTGAAATAATATTAAGCCATAAAAAGAATGAAATTCTGTCACTCATGACAATATGAAAGAACCTGGAGACTATTATGTGAAATAAGACAAACACAGAAAGACAAATGCTGCATGATCTCACTCATATGTGGAATTCAAAAATGTTGCTCTCACAGAAGTAGAGAGTAGAATGGCTTAGGTGTTTAAGGGGAGGAAAGGAAAGAGGGATGTTGGCCAAAGGATACGTAATTATAGTTAGAGAGGAGGAATGTAAAAAAAAAAAAGAAAAAAAAAAAAAAACATGTCCCGAATAAGCAAATGTTTGAACACTGAAAGTAGATTAGTGACTGCCCAGGGTGGAGATTAGGTGATGGGGTGGGGGACCCATGGAGAACAACTACTCATGGTTTGGGCATTTCTTTCCTAGGTGACAAAAATGTTCCAAAACAGTACAAAATATCAATTACATATTGATTAATATATAATTACTAGTTGTGTATCAATTGCATATTGTCAGTTACATGTAATTAATTATATGAAATTAATTGCATATTAATATATGATAAATATCATATGTTACTTTCAGATGATACATATATAAAATAATAATTCATTTCTCATACTAAGCTCTTCAAGTCCCACATGTATTTTATACCTAGAGTTCATCTCAATTCAAACTAAATGCATTTCAAGTGTTCAACAGCCACTTGAATGGCCACGTCGGCTTAGCTTAGGACTAGACAAACCCTCACTCTGGCAAACCAGGGAGCTGACAAGGGTCACTTCAGCATCGTTTATAGTAAGAAGGAGGAAGGAAAGAAGGAAGGAAGGAAGTCAGTCCCCATCAGTAGAACAAATCAGTAAAGACCTGTGAAAATGAATCAACTGGGGCTACAAATATCCACCTAATATAGTCGAATCTTGTAAACATAATGCTGAATCCAAAACAAGTTATTCAAAAGAATAATGAACAAAAAAGTCTACACGCAATGAAATCGCTAGTATATGGGAATGATGAACACCTAATTCAAGGCAGCAGAACTCCCCTCTCAGGATACCAGGGGGTGTGCTCAGAGAAGGTACTTAGGAGGCACCAGGGAATTTAGTAATAGTATGTTTTTTATACTGGGAGGTGGAATTAGAGGGTGTTACTTGGATTATTCCCTATGCCTTTGTAAATATGTCTTCAGATTTTATCATCAGTGTTTAAAAGCAAGGTTCAGAATACTCTGACTTCACGTGGTAATCAAATGGTACACGTCAAGCCTGTCTCTGGGCAAATCACTTTGCTTATCTGTTTCTCCATCTATTCATGAGATCAGAGTCCATGGCCCCTACTATGTGTTCCTGTCTTAATATCCTTTTGATCAGCAATTCCACTCTTCCACATACCTCTGTGGCTCCCGAAATAATCCTGGAGAAGGGACAGAGCTGCCTCACAGGGTCGTATGGGTTGTGTCCACACAAACCTGGGATTCGACTCCCACCCGGCCACCAAGCCCTTCACCATGGAGAGGGGCATCTCTCAAGGCAACGTGTCTTTGCCTAATTGACATAAAGGTTCTCCAGGGACTGTGGTGCTTGGGAGGGAATGCGCTCTGGAAACAACTGCATGCCTCAGCTGAGTGCACAGCCTATCAGCCGCCTGACCTAACCCTACTGAGCAAACCCTGGAAGGAAGCCTGACTCTCCGTCCTTGCAAATGAGCCACACAATCAACCTACCTTTTGAGATTATGAAATGAACAGCTCATAGTGCTACTGATTTGAGTGGATTTTCCGAAGGCAGGGGGCTGGACTACCGACTGCCATCAGAGCAGTCGTGCCCTTCCTGATAGCTCTGATCATCCCTGACCTGATGGCCATCATCCTTCCCCATACTTGGGCAGACTGGGCAAGGCATGCTAGAACACTGAAGCTGGGGAGACTCCAGGAGATCAATGGTCCTGTGCTAATATTTTTTTTAAATAAGTTCCAAAACATGAATGAAATTCAGTGATAGTCTCACCTGCTACTACCACCACCACCGGTGAGTTAGCAGTGTTCTCCAGATCCTCTACTGCTACTACACAGAGGGCCAAAGAAGATAAATGACTCGTTCAAAGTAGCATAGTTCTTAAGTGCCTGAGCCAGCACTTGAACCCAAACGTGTTTAATTCCAAAACCCATCCATTCTGCTCTGAGGGCTCTTCAGCCCAATAGCGCTCACAGAGGTCATTGTTCATTAATGCTTCTTCTTAATATTAAGTGTTTATTGTTGTTGTATAATCTAGTGCTGGCTCTGAAGTGGTTTGTCCCCTAGGAGTTCACGAGCTGGAGGCTTAGTCCCCAGTGCAGTGATATTAAGAGGTGGTGGAACACTAAAGAGACCCAGTGAGAAGTGGTTAGACTGCTTGAGGCACTGCCCTCAGAAAAGATCAATGCTAGTCTCACAAAGCGAATTAGTACTCTTGAGGTGGGTTGGTTATGAAGCAAGGTCAGCCTGCAAACTTGGTCCTTTCTGCATGCAACAGTTTCTATTCTCCTTATCCACCTCATTGTAATGCATCGAAGGGGTTATCACTAGAAGCCAAACAGATGGAGCCACCCAATGTGGATTTTCAGCTTCTAAAATTGTGAGCTAAATAAAGAAATTCCTTTCTTTATAACTTATTCAGCCTCAGTTATTTTGTTATAACCACAAAAAAATGGATGAATACAGCCAGTAACATCATTTACCTACAGTGATTATTATTGCTTGATAATAATAAGTGTGAAATGTTTCCTCTTTCATGCTTTTCCCACGCCTTTTCCCCAGTGATCCCACACCTAATAAGTAACCAAACTGACGATTATAAAGCATGTGTCCCACCTCTTTTTCTTCAACCTCTTTTCTGGAGATTTCTGTGTCTTTTTCAGAATAAAATACCTGATAGGGAGAAAATATTGCAGTGGTCAGAACAGAGAAAACCTCACAAACAATCAGTCAGGGGAAAGTGGATGCTTGTTTAAAAGACCTCCATGGATACAGGTGACATTTATCCCCTTGCTAAGGTCATAAGAAGGTCTAGGTTGCCCCTGACCCCTTCAGAGCAGCCTTTGCACGTATTCATTCATGCATTCGTCTTTGGTGTCATTTATGTCAGGTGATGATGATGTCACTTCTCCCAATAGTTTTTAGCTTTTCAGGTTCTATCTTGAATTATGAGAGTAGTGACTTGGACAGGCCACTCACGCAGCCCCCACCCAAAGGAATGTCAAGCATCAAGGAGCAGATGGCGTGATGGCATTTGGAGAGGGCAGAGAACTTCCCTGACGGACCTGAAATTCCTCCCTGTCTTCACGGGCTTTGCTCCTGGCTTACAGGTCGAGATGAGCGTGTTTTCAAGGTGATTCTCAAAGGCTGGTCCCCAGACACAACCTGTGCGTGGAAAGCAAAGGCAGCCCCTACCTTCTGTAACTGGGAGGCTGTGGCTCCTCGTGTCCCCAGGAGGAGCATGCCAATGGCAGTTGAGATGCCCACGGGGGAAAAGAAGATGTTGCCATCGTTTGTTTTCCTCATTTCTTTGAGAAGATCAAGCCCCAGATGAATGTTTGCGGCACTGAGTGACTCCATGGCGGTTTTGGTTTCCGTGAGATCTAGAACAGCAACAGCAGTCAGTGGACTGAACTGCTGGGTGCCACGGGAACTCTCCCTGCATTGACCCAGAAAATGGGGATTCTCACCCTCTGGGTCCAGGTCATGGCTGGCTACCTCTTACCCTTCTGTTGGCCTCTCCTGATGGGAGATGTGAGTCACCTGGAGTCTGACACCATCTAGTAGCTCGCAGTTAACGCCTTAATGGTTTAATTCTCTCTTGTTCTCTGTCAGAACCTGCCTGCTCTGCCCCCCACCGCCTCCTCCTCCTCCTCCCTCCTCCTGCTTGGCTTCTCCAGGCAAACCCAGCTCTGTCCTCCCAGGCCCAGCCTGTGCAGCAACACAGGGTCCAGGAGGCAGAGGAATCCCCACTGGCCTCAAGTCCAAGCAGCCTGGACCACAACGAAGCCAGGACTCCTGCCTGTAGCTGGTGCTGTCTGTCTCTCAACTGAGCCAGAATCCAGCCCAGAGAACAGCGACCTCTTAAACTCCAACCCCAGCTCCAGGAAAACTTGACTCTGGGTAAAATTTTCACGGAAGGTCAATGAAACATCTCTAGGAGTAGATTATTAGGTGGAGCGGAGAGGTTTTCTTTTCTTATTTGATTTTTTTTCTGTATAGTTTCAGGCTTGTTTGGTAAATATTACTTTTGTTATCTCACTTATTTTTTTTCAGAACTGGGGATTGAATCCCAGGGTACTCTGCCCTTTTTATTTTTATTTTGAGACAAGGTCTTGCTAAGTTTCCCAGCCTGGGCTCAAACTTGGGATCCTCCTGCCTCAGCCTCCTGAGTATAGGATTATGCATGTACCTCCATGCCCAGCACAAAAAATAATAAGAATTTCTAAAGATCAACTAATATTTCTCTAACAGAAAAGTAGAACATGGTTTTTTTTTTTACATTTCTTAATCACCAGCAACTTTATAACTATTTAACAAAGGCTTTAAGAAGAATCCGAAAACAAGAATAAAATAAATGCAAAATAAATTAATGCACACATTTTGGGAAGCTGAGAGGTTTATCTCTGCTAAGACATCCTATGAAAACTGTTACGTCTTCAATATCAACTTCAGGTTTCCTATAGGAATTCCTCATAGGTTTTACTCAGAAATAAAATGAATTAATTTAGGTTAAACAAGATGAAGAGGGCTGGGATTGTGGCTCAGCAGTACAGCACTTGTCTAGCACGGTGAGGCCCTGGGTTCAATCCTCAGCACCACATAAAAATAAATAAATAAAATAAAAGTATTGTTAAAAAAAATAAGATGAAGATACGTTGTTATGGTCATGCAGGCCAGAATTAAATAAAGCCACCTAAAGAAAAGTCTATGCACAATAAAAAGTACTTCTTTCAAATTGATAAACATTCATATTCTCAAAACACAGAAGTCTTAAGTTAGCTAAAAGAAGAACTTACCTGGCTCTTGGAGAGACTGATGTGGTTGCACAAGGAACTAGTAAGCTTATGTGAAATGAGCAGCTCAGATCCTTCATTTATAGTTCTTGTCTCTGCCTCTCCCTAGTCATTACAGTTTGTATTTCCAGTGAAACAACATTTGGTTTCTCAATGATAATTTCCCTAATAAAAATATCATGCAAGGTTTATGACAAAACTGAGGATTTAATTCCTTATATCTTCATTCTTGGCCATGAAGTCATTCACTTGAAGTTGTGAGCAGCTGTGGATCAACTATAGTTCACAGAGTATGCACTTTAGACACAGAGGGAGTGAGTAGTTTAAATTCTAACTCCAAAATCCTTTAGGAAAAAAAAAATTGGGGGAATGAGGGCAGGAGGTAGCTGGGGATTTAACCCAGTGGCCAACCTTTTTATTTTTCATTTTGAGACAAGGTCTCACTGAGTTGTTTAGGGCCTCCTGACTCAGTTACTGAGACTGGCCTTGAACTTGCAATCTTCCTGTCTCAGCCTCCCGAGCAGCTGGGATTACAGGTAGAAGTTCTTTTTTTTGGAGCTTGAGCATAAAGAGATCCAAATTAACCACAGAACAAAACAAGAATTAAAGCAGGAGTTCGAAACCAAACAAGGACTAAAGGGTAGAAATAGAATATCCAGGTCAAATGAATTATGGAGGCTGGAGGGAGCCTTCATTCCTATTGATACTGGGGACCCTCTGGAAATAACTGTTTAGAGCAGTTGTTTTGCACCTCGGAAGGACATTAAAATATCCCAGGGAATTTAAAAAAAAAACAGACTACCTGAGCTAGCATCTCTGGAATGGGAATATTTACAGGCATCCACATTTGTATCACCCCAGGTGACTGGGTTATGCAGCCAAGGTTGGGAACCACTGGTTTATATAGTCTGATGAAGGCATGAATTAAAGGCATACTTGAGTTACCACAGATGAACAGAGTCATGTCCTGACAAGCCATTCTCCATGATAAAGCTAGTTTTGCAGTTGCATTACTTTAGGATGCCATGTGCAAAGAAGAAAATGAAAAATGTCTTGCTAGAAAAGAACCAGAAAAAAGGAGCATGTGGCTCTCATACACACACACACACACACACACACACACACACATACACGCACACACACACACACCACACAAAACCACATTTGTTCTCATGTATTCTGTCCATTAATTTAAAACATTTATTTCAATTCATTCAATAAATATTTATTGAGTCTAGATGCACCACACCCTGTGTTAAGTACCAATAATGTGTAAATATCCAAAAACCTCCCTAATTTTAGGAAAAGAATATTACTAAAGAACAAAACTTCACAGGAAATTACACCTCTAAATTCCAGTTTTTCCTGCCAACCCTGGGGCATCCCTACTAGCTCTGCTAGTTCATTAAAAGAAACAGCATTTGGATTAGTCTAGATCTCAGTAGGGTGTGAAGATTTATCATTGTTGCTAAACAACAACAGCAAGGGCATCTCGCTCCCCCGTTGCCTGAAGAAGAGCAGCCTTAGGGGTGGATCCTGCTGGTGCCGCTCTCCATACTCAGTTTCCTTTCATTTTTTTTTAGTAAACTCAATGCAGTATACAATTAGCTTTGTGGGGTTTTCTAGTTGTCACTAAGAAATATGCAAATTGAGTAAGGCGTAGAAAGAGTTAACACTTAGTTATAAAATAAACCCTGGATGCCAATGAAATAGAGACCTTAGTTTTATAAAACGGCATGAAATCCTTACGTTGACAATAATGCTCTGTATTTTAACATTCCTATCAGTCTGTGTCTTCCCTGTCCTTTCTCTGTGGCCCTCTCTGTCTCATTGCATAGCTCTGTCCAGGCGCCCTCTGTTCTTTTCCGAAGCCTTTCCTCCTGGCCCTTTCTCACAGACAAACCTGGCCTTCCCCTGAGGACAACTATGTCCCACAACGTCTTCTCTGGGAACAGCCACCACTACCTTGGGATGGGGAAGCAAGGTCCCCTTTCCTTGTCTGCCCCCTGCTCTTGCTTTTCCAAGCCTTTCTTCCTTGCATTGCCTCCATGTCCCCTTGGAGAGTTACACTTGTATTGCCCCTTCCCGAACTATAGGGCCAAGGGTGCTCTGCACCCGGCCTCCCTGTCCACCCTGAGTGCCACCAGCACCAGCCATGTGGATGGCCTCTCGCTTCCCTGACCTGGCCTTGCCTCTCCTGTGGCAGCCCACTCCAGGGGTCGTGCACTAGCTATTTTCATCACCAGGACCTGCTCCATCCTGCTGGGCACTGAAGCCCCTCCAGCCCGTCCCAGACCCCTTCCATATGCTCTCTAACTGTCAGAATCTTCACAACCCCAATCTTGGGCTCCCACTACCCTTCTATTTTATCTGTCTCTTCTTTCTGGTTGTAAAACTGCCCCAGTTGAAGAAAATGTTAATGATTAAAGCCATAAAAATAGTTCCTGTGCTTCTGAGTAAGGAAAGGAGATAGTCCCTGAAGCAGAGTTCTGACAATTTCCCCCCTGCCCCATAACTCCCTGTCCTGGTGCAACCTCTGCATGTCCGTTACTGATGCTGATTGTAGCATTTACTTCTTCAAGCCGGTAATGTGGTGTGTGTCTCTTTCCCAGCCCTGCACCTATCACCCTGCATCTGCCACCGTTGCTGTTTAGGCTGATAGTACAGAGCTTCCTTTTCTGGGCCCAATGACTCTCAGCTAAAGGGACTTACCTGTCTGGAAGCCACACACCACTCCTCCCCTCAACCAGGGGACACCTCAGGCACCACTGGTTGGCATGAGGGTATGAAAAGACCCCCTCACAGCAGGTGTGACTTGGTAGTGCAAAGTCTGCTCCCATGGGATCAGCCAGAAGCTGACTTCCAGCTGAAATCCCATGATCCATTCACATTTTTCCCTTGTCCTGTCCTGTTTTTCTCCAAGAAACATCTCCTCCTCCTAGAAAAATTATCTGAATAAAAACCATTGTCTTTGCTTTGTTTCTAGGGCACCTGACCTCAGGTAAAGCGTTTGGACATCTGGCCCAAGCCCCTCATTGTTTCTTGCTTTCCAAAATTCCTCCACAATTCTTGTAATTATCCTCCCTTAGGTATACTTTTTCATGGCTTGTCAAGATCTTTGGACTTAAATTGTAGCCTTTTAGAATTAACCCATTAAGTGGGAAGATTGTTATTTTTATATATTGAACAAGAAACATATCATCTTATGCATCCTTAAATAGAGTTTATAAATAGAAATGAAGAGAGAAAAAAAACTACTTTTCTCTTTGTGATCAAAAACATAGAGTCTGAGGATGTAGCTCAGTGGTAAAATGCCCAGGGTTCAATTCCCAATACTAAAAAAAAAAAAAAAAAAATTAAAATTAAATATGAGTTTAAGAATTTCTGGAATGTAAGTTTATATGCATTAATTTTAATTGTATATGCAAATCTTGATAAAAATAAAATCTTGATTATACAGTAATATTTTACTTCAAATAATTTAAAGTTAATACATTGAATCCAAAAGAAAGAATTGCAATCTTGGTTCGATTTTTGGCTGATAAACATTAATACACACATACA